TGGCGATGCACGCGGCCAGGTGTATCACATCTGGGATGCGAAGCATGCACAATCGCGTCTTCTTCGGGGTATCAGAAAGAGTGTTGTGCTGGATACCACAGTTATTGTGTTCTTCCCCCCATGTCTGAATTTTGCGCGGAAGACACGGGCTATAGTCGTCTTTTTTTTTCTTATTGGCCCTTGGGATATGTTGTGGAGCTGTCATTTTGGTGGTGGCTGCAATGGTTACTACGTCAATTTTTCCATGCGCTGGCTTTGTTCCTAGTGCCGCAGGTTTCCTTTTCTTCCGGCTGTGTCTTAGGCAAGAAGACGAGTACAGCCCATGTAAATAAGTGTCCCGTGGCTGCGCCCGTGCGGGCTTCTTTTATTTTGAGTGCTTGTGAAGGGGAAGGACGTGGGCAATGGGGCCTCTGTGGTTGCTGTGAGCGCATGGCTGTTCCTCTCCCTGCGACTGCTCGGGTTCTGCGGGGACAAGTGGGTGGCTGCCGTCGTGTCCTCGTGCCTGCTGTGGGTCTACTGTGCGTGTGGGCCTCATCGACGCGCTCGGGCTCCTCTTTTGATCGCGCCCCCTGGCAGCTTCTCTTCTTCTGAGCTGCGCCTTGTCGATGTTGCGCGGGTGTGGCTCCTCGCCATGTTCCCCTCTCCGCATTTGCTTTCCTTCTCTCCCGCCCCCTCTGTATCCCTCCCATCCCTTTTTTTTATGCTTCGCTCAGCTCGCATTCCCGCGCAAGGAACAACTCAGGCAACCGAAGCCGTATTTCAACCAAGGAAACGCTAATGCCACGGCTGCTGCTTGCAGCGCTGCTGGTGCTCTCCGCGGTGGCGGCGGCGGCCGCCCCGGACGGCACGGGGAAGGTGGAGGCGCCATGCGTCGGCATCGACCTCGGCACGACATACTCGGTCGTGGGCGTGTGGCAAAAGGGGGATGTGCACATCATTCCGAACGAGATGGGCAACCGCATCACGCCGTCGGTCGTGGCGTTCACGGATACGGAGCGCCTCATTGGCGACGGTGCGAAGAACCAGCTGCCGCAGAACCCGCACAACACGATCTACGCGATCAAGCGGCTCATCGGGCGCAAGTACGGCGATACCACGGTGCAGAAGGACAGGAAGCTGCTGTCGTACGAGGTGGTGGCGGACAAGGATGGTAAGCCGAAGGTGCAGGTGGAGGTTGGTGGGAAGAAGAAGCAGTTTACGCCCGAGGAGGTGAGCGCGATGGTGCTGCAGAAGATGAAGGAGATCGCGGAGACGTACCTGGGCGAGAAGGTGAAGAACGCCGTCGTGACTGTGCCCGCGTACTTCAACGACGCACAGCGGCAGTCGACGAAGGACGCTGGCACGATCGCGGGGCTGAATGTTGTGCGCATCATCAACGAGCCGACGGCTGCGGCGATCGCGTACGGTCTGAACAAGGCCGGCGAGAAGAACATCCTTGTGTTCGACCTCGGGGGCGGCACCTTTGACGTGTCGCTACTGACAATCGACGAGGGCTTCTTCGAGGTAGTGGCGACGAACGGTGACACGCACCTCGGCGGCGAGGACTTCGACAACAACATGATGCGCTACTTCGTGGACGCGCTGAAGAAGAAGAAGGGCGTGGACATCGGGAAGGACCAGAAGGCGCTCGCGCGGCTGCGCAAGGCATGTGAGGCGGCGAAGCGGCAGCTGTCGTCGCACCCCGAGGCGCGCGTGGAGGTGGACAGCCTGACGGAGGGCTTCGACTTTAGTGAGAAGATCACGCGCGCGAAGTTCGAGGAGCTGAACATGGAGCTGTTCAAGGGGACGCTGGTGCCGGTGCAGCGCGTGCTAGAGGACGCGAAGCTGAAGAAGAGTGACATAGACGAGATCGTGCTGGTTGGCGGCTCGACGCGCGTGCCGAAGGTGCAGCAGCTGATCCGCGACTTCTTCGGCGGCAAGGAGCCGAACCGCGGCATCAACCCCGACGAGGCGGTGGCGTACGGCGCGGCGGTGCAGGCGGCGGTGTTGACCGGCGAGAGCGAAGTCGGTGGGCGCGTGGTGTTGGTGGACGTGATTCCGCTGTCGCTCGGCATCGAGACAGTGGGCGGTGTGATGACGAAGCTGATCGAGCGCAACACGCAGATCCCGACGAAGAAGAGCCAGGTGTTCTCGACGTACCAGGACAACCAGCCGGGCGTGCTGATTCAGGTCTTCGAGGGCGAGCGGCAGATGACGAAGGACAACCGCCTGCTTGGCAAGTTCGAGCTGTCCGGCATCCCGCCGGCGGCGCGCGGCGTGCCACAGATCGAGGTGACGTTTGACGTGGACGAGAACAGCATCCTGCAGGTGAGCGCGGTGGACAAGTCATCGGGGAAGAAGGAGGAGATCACCATCACGAATGACAAGGGGCGGCTGAGCGAGGAGGAGATCGAGCGCATGGTGCGCGAGGCCGCGGAGTTCGAGGACGAGGACCGCAAGGTGCGCGAGCGCGTGGAGGCGCGCAACTCGCTGGAGAGCATTGCGTACTCCCTGCGCAACCAGGTGAACGACAAGGAGAAGCTCGGTGGGAAGCTGAGCGCGGAGGACAAGAGCGCTGTGGAGGACGCGGTGAAGGAGGCGATACACTTCCTCGACGAGAACCCCAACGCGGACAAGGAGGAGTACGACGAGGCGCGCGAGAAGCTGCAGAGCGTGACGAACCCGATCATCCAGAAGGCGTACCAGGCCGGCGGGGCTTCCGGCGAGGAGGGACAGCCGGAGCCAATGGACGATCTGTAGGCACGCACGCACGCACGCTGGCTGACGCCGGCAGCGGTAGCAGGGGGCGCAGCAACCGCCGCTGCTGGTGCCGCTGTATGGGGAGCCTACGCTGCCATTGTTCCGCGCGTATCCACGACGAGGTGGCGCCAGGCAGTCGAGAAGTAAGGGGAAGGGCGAGTGCAAGGAGGAACGTGCATCCCCTCTCTATGGCCTAATGTTGCTTTTCTGCGTTTCCGTGAGGCTGCTGTTCTGGGCGCCCGTTTTCCTGTTCCTCTGAGAAGGGAAGACACAAGTGGGTTTTGCGAGGCTGGTAGTAGCGAGAAGATAGCAAGTGTCGCTGGGGGGAGGGGGTAGATGAGGAGGGAAGAAGCGCGAGTAAGTAGGCGTGCCCCTGAAGTGCTATACAATCCGAGAAATAGGCGCGTAGGGAGAAGAAATGGTGGGAGGCGCCGTGTGTCCCGCATCTGTGATTTTGTTTTTCTGTTTTACGATGTGCGCCACGTGCGGGACAGGCGGTCCGCCTTTGTTCTCTTATGTGCTCTTTCGGCGCAGAATACATTGTGGTCCGTGGCCTCCACGCGTGTCCCGTGGCGTGCGCACTGCGCGGTGCGGATAGTGCAAGTG